CGCCGGCGACCAGCGACCAGCGACCAGCGAGGCAGCAACGGGAGAGGCTGCTATTTACCCCCCTACACCCCTCCCCTGTGGCTGCTGCTGCCCGTGCACGTGGCACTTTGCTGTGGACTGAAGACCCCCCTGGTTAGGGGGCTGCGCCACAACATTATTATTATTATTTTTTTTACTATCTCTCTACTGCTGCAGCAGCAGCTTTGCAGCAGCTCAAGATTTCCCCCTTGCTAGGGGGTTGTGTGCCTGTGGCAGTAGGGTGGCTGATCAAGATCTCAGCCAACCCTGGATCATCATCATCATCCATCAGGGTATGCTCACACAGCACACCCTGGATCTGCAGTGCTGCAACTAGGGGTTGATCAAGATCTCAACCCCCCTACATCCTCCAGTTGGTTGGCTGCAGCGAAGGCCAAGACCCTCCTGGTCTTGGTATACCTTGTGCCCTTGGAGACACCAAGGGCCAGGTATCATATCTCTCTCCCCTTTTCTTTCCCCCACCTTCCACTGCCTCTCTCCCCTCCTCTTTCTACCTTCCCCACCCCACCTTTTCTCCCACTAACCACTATCTTACCCTTCTTTCTTCATTTCTTTTCTTTTCTCTCCTCCTTTCCTCTTAGTTTCTTGATCACTCTCCATCTTTCCCCATCCTCTTTCTCTCCCATTCTCTCACCCTCCTCTCCCCCAACTGCCACCACATCATCCCCCCACCTTCCACTTCCATCTTTTTCCCTCTCCCACCTATTTCTTTCTTCCCTCCATCACTTTTTCATCCCCCTTTCCCCCCTTACTTCGAATTTTTCTGTTTTTCTTTTTTTTCCATCTCCCTTTTGATTTATATTTTCTCTTTTTCCAAAAATTCGAATTATCTGCTTCCCCACCTTCTTTTCCCAATTTCTGATTTATTTCATTTATTTTTCTATTTATTCTGAAAATTCGATTTTCTTTACGGCAACCCTAAATCTGATTAGGTGTTAGTCTTTCTTGCTTTCGGCACACGTTTTGACCCCGTGGGGGTAACAAAGTGTTGCCGAAATTTTCTGATTTTCTCTTACGTAGTATTTTTCGGCACACTTCGACCCATGGGGGTAAACGTAATGTTGCGGAAATTCTTGACAAATCAGATACTTCATTTCTCCCCACCTCCTCATCTCCTTATTTACTTATTTATTTATTTATTTATTTATTTATTATTTCATTTTTCTTTTTGAATTTTTTTTTTATTTGCGGCATCTTGAACCTAGTGTGCTCACCTTGGTCTCCCCTTTCCCCTTGGCACATTCTTGACCCCATGGGGGGTAGGTAAATGCTGCTGAAAATTTCAAAAAAATAAATATTATTTTTTTTTCTTTCATATTTTGTTTACTTATTCCCTTAATTATTTTTATTATTTATTTATTTCGTTATTTATTTTTATTTTTCTCTCGAAGTCTCGCTGTTTATTTATTTTTCTCCCGCCTTCCCCCCCCCTATGCTTGCTATTTTATTTTCTTGATTAGGTCACCGGCACCGTACCCTAACCACTCAAACTCCGATTAGGGTTTTCTTAGGGTTTTTATAGGGTTTAGGGTTCTTCAACCCCCCCCCTTACTTCCCCGTCCTCTTCGGGCACCCTGGACCCGAACCACCCCTCCCCCTTTGACGGCGCCCGCACCATCCTTGCTAGCGCCGTCCGCCGCTTTCTACCGCGGACTTCCCCTTACGCCTTCCGCTCACGTGGATCTCTCCTGGCCCCCTCCAGTCCGGCCCGTCACCTCCCCATGGCCGACGACGCATCACACGCCGCCGACGTGGCGACGACGACGGCACAGGGCTCCACACCCGTGCCGACGGACCAGGGCCACCAGCCCCAGGGGGATCTGCACACCCTCCTCACCTCCCTCCTTGCGCCCATTCAGGCGCAACTCGCAACCCTCGCGCCCTTACAGGGGCAGGTGGCGACCCTTGCCGCCGGCATGCAGCTACTCCAGCACGCTGCGTATCCTTCATCTCCTGGCTCCCGGGTCCCCCGTCCTCTGACAGGGTGGCCACGACGGAGCTTCCTCCTCCGCTGCCCCCGACCCGACCATCTTGGTGACTGTCCACGCCCCTAGCACGACGGTCGCCACGAGCCAGGCCCTCCCTCAGTCCATGGGCGCACCCGCCCAGATTCCGGTCACAACGACCACGGGACTACAACCCGCTACCATGGTCTCAGCTTTTCCGAGTGCCCCGCTTCTCCCTTCTCTTCGCACGACCGCAACGCCACTTGGCTCTCCCCCCTCTGGGATGCCCCCTGCCGCTTGTGCGTCCACTTCCTCCACTCTTCCTCCTGCCACTCCTCGCTCGACCTACGTTTGAGGTCTCGCGGACGAGGTTGCCCAGCTCTGGGCCGATCTCGCCCTCTTACGCCTTCAGCCACCCCCACCCTCACAGGTGGCCGTGCCCTCGGGCGCACCCCCTACCTCCTCTACTCTTCCTCCCATGCAGGCCCGCTTCCCGCGCCCTGCACCCTATCCAGCCCCATCCTACCTTCTTCCTACTGCCACGGTTGCTGCGACCTCTTCTACCACAGCTCCCTCGCAGCCTGCCGCAGCTGCCCCCGCCGCTCCCCCATGCGGCCCGGGCGCACAGTCAGTTGCGCCCTTCTCTCCAGGACCTGCGCCGACTTACTCAGTCGTGGCACAGGCCTCTGCTCCTCGATCCCCTCGCCGCCAAAACGGTGGCGCACCACTCATCCGCTTGTCGGACATTGCCTTGTATGACGGTACAGGCATACGCATGTCTAGGTGGCTGCAGTCTGCTACCCGCACGTTCCAGCTCATGGGCACCACACCCGACACGTGGGTGGGTCACCTCTCCACGCGCCTACATGGCGGTCCTTTCGAGTCCTGGGAGGATTTCTACGCGTACTCCCTTCGTGAGGGTCGGACCCCGACCTTCATGGATTTCCAGGCGTTCCTCGAGGATCGCTTTAGAGCCCGATACGACGTGACTGACGCCTTCGAGCGTGTCGTCACTACACGCTGGTTCGACTCTGGTGGCGCTGCCGCTCTAGATCGCTACATCCAGGTCTTTCAGGACGCCCACCTCACTTGTGACGTGGCGTTCCTCCCCGAGGCTGCCCTTATTGATCGTTTCTTGGCCAGCCTTCCGCTCGAGTACCGCTCGGAGCTATGGCGGTACGAGTTCAMATCCGCCCCGCAGACTTCCGAGGCCGCCAGGGACCATCAGCGGATGCGAGCCCGTCTTCACCCCGCCTCCTCCTCCCAGCCTCAGCGCACGACCTACGCCTCCTCCTCCTCTCACGACACTTCCCAACGTTGTTCCCCTTCCCGCGGTCGCCCCTGCCGTTCCGCGCAGCAGGGCCGCCACTTCTCGCTCCGCTTCCGCGCGCTCGAGTATGGTGAGCAGGACGCTGGTGCCCCGCTGTCGCCAGAGGGTGACCATAGCGACGACCTCGATCTTGGCGAGGCCGTCCAGCGCCACCTGGAGGACCCCACTCTCCCTATGGTTGAGCGCTTCCAGCTCATCCTCTCCACCCTTTCCCGGACACGCAGCCGCCCTGGTCACCCTGGCTCGTCGCCCCCGCGTGGTCCCTCTGCAGGACCTCCCTCAGGGCTTCGTTCCTCCTCGCAGTGTTCTTTCCGTTGAGGAGCGCGCGGCCATTTTGGGCCGACGTGGGTGTTTGCGATGCCATTAGGACGGTCATACCTCCTCGCGGTGCCCTTACATCACCGCCCTTGACCGCCACTACGCTAACCTTTCCCGCCAGCGTCGTGCTCAGTCCCCCCTGGCGCCTCGCATCCCCGCGGCGCCTCCTAGCCACGGTGCAGTGTACACCTGCGCCGTCCTCAGTAGTCGGCTTCCCGACATCCCCGTCGCGGTTTTCCCCTCTCGCTACTGGAGTTGAGGTCCTGCAAGATCCGACAGAATGTACTCAGCCCTCTGTCGCAGTACCGTCTGCGCCTCCGCAAACCACCGTCTCCCCTCCTTCCCCACCGCGACTACCGACGCGTCGAGCCATTCGCTCAACCCGTTGCAGCGAGCAGCTTGCGACTCGCGAGGATGTTGTGTCCTCTCTTCTGGACTTGAGCATGCTCCAGGCTCGTCAGGAGCGACTCACCCTCCATGTCGCTGTCATGCGTCGCCTTCTCACCATCCTCTCCGACCCTGATCGCACCCTCCCGATCATCCCCGTACGACTAGGGAGCTCCACGAGGGTGTACTTAGCGTTGTGGGATTCCGGTTCTGAGGGCGACTTCATTCACCCACGTCTGGTGAAAGAAGCCCGCTTACCCACGACCGGGTCTCCGACTCCCATCTCTGTCACCCTAGGGGATGACAAGACTCAGCGCTTCTTCGATCAGACGGTCACCGACCTCCCTTTCTTCCTCACTCTCGAGCCGACTGATCGTCCCCCGGCATCTCATCGCTACCGCTCCTCTGCACATTTCGATGTGATGGAGACGGGGTACGACTTCATTATCGGCACTCCGTGGTCTCGTCGATTCCGCGGAACCGAGGCCGATTGGGCGATCAACACTCTCGTTCTCAAAACGAAGTGTGGACAGACATATCGCGTACCTTTCCTAGGTATCACGCTCCAATCCTCCTCCCACGGAGCCTTCCGTGCCCACATCATCTCCTTCTATCACTGTCACCTTGCTCTGCAATTCGCCCACTTCATCTGACAGGACGACGTCACCTTCTTTATGGTGAACGTGACGGATCTCTTACATTATGATCCACCTTGTGCCGACGTCGAGCTCATCCCTCTAGAGCTAGATCCTCCTTCTATCTCCATGGCTCCCATCTCTACTTCCCACCCTCCGCCGTCCGTCGAGTCCACCCCGCCGTCGCGCGTTGACGCTGACGCTGAGGAACTCGCACGCTATACGGCCGACCTGAAGCCCGCAGTTTGTGACCTCATTCGAGAGTATCACGACGTTTTCCCATCTTCGTTCTCGTACGCCGGTATCCCACCGATGCGTGACGTTGAGCACTCCATTCAGCTTGTGCCTGACTATCGTGTTCACCACCAGGCACCCTACAAACTCTCGATCCCCGAGGCCACTGAACTCAAGCGTCAGCTTGAGGAGCTCTTGAGACTGGGTTTCATTAAACCCAACAACTCCCCGTGGGGTGCACCCGTCCTCTTTGCTCGCAAAACGGATGAAACTCTTCATCTCTGCATCGACTACGGCGGTCTCAACCGCTACACGGTTAAGAACAACTACCCCATGCCTCGTTCCGATGAGTTGTTCGACCACCTAGCAGGCAACTGCTTCTTTACGAAGATTGATCTTCGTAGCGGTTACCATCTGGGCGGCATCGCTACAGCTGACCAGCCGAAGACCGCGTTTCGATCGCGCTTCGGCCACTACGAGTTTACGGTGATGCCATTCGGCCTCACCAACGCACCCGCTACCTTCCAGAGGGCGATGAACGACGTCTTCAGGGACATCCTGGAGCAGTACGTTCTCGTCTACCTCGATGATATCCTGGTCTACAGTCGTACCCTTGAGGAGCACCTCAGACACCTCCGCGATGTCCTTGACCGCTTGCGCAGACACGGCTTCTACGCCAAGCTGAGCAAGTGCCGCTTTGCCCAGCACAAAGTGGATTTCTTAGGACACTACGTGTCTGACCAGGGTCTCCACATGGACGACGCGAAGATCACTGCTATTGCGGAGTGGCCCGCTCCCACATCCGCCAAGCAGCTTCGCAACTTCCTAGGCCTGACCAGCTACTATAGTAATTTCATCCAGGGATACGCTAGGTATTCCTACATCCTTACCTCCACCTTCCTCCGGAAGAACCCACCGTGGGCTTGGACACCCCTCCACGAGGACGCCTTCCGCGCCCTCAAGAAGGCGGTGATATGCGCACCGGTTTTTCACCTACCCGATTTTGATCGCCCTTTTATCCTTACCACCGATGCGTCAGACTTCGCTGTAGGAGCAGTGCTTTCTCAAGTCTTCCCCTTCTCTCCTGATTCCTCTCATCCTCGTATCCCTCGCTTCCCACCACTTACCCCTACCACTGCTTCCCGACTGACGCCTACTCGTCCAGCTACTAACGAGCCTTCTATTGACTATTCTCCTACCATCGTCGAGGACGACACTGTCGAGTCTCGCTCAGGTGATTGTCCGATAGCCTTCTACTCCCGTCAGCTTCTGCCCGCCGAGATAAACTACACCGTTGATGAACGTGAGGTTCTCGCAGTAGTTTATGTCGCTCGGCACTGGCGTCACTACCTGCACGGGGCACCGTTCACGGTGCGTACGGACAACTCTGTTGTCCAGGCTTTTCTGACAAAACCGAAGCTCACTTCTCGACAGGCTCGCTGGTGGCGCGACCTATCCGAGTTTAGTTTCACCACTGAGCACATCAAGGGTGAGACTAATCGGGTCGCAGATGCCTTATCCTGGCGCCCTGACCACGACCAGGAGCAGATCCAGCTCTCTTCCATCTCGGGCACCACTGTTCACCACTCGGTGATCGACGAGTTCCGCACTCAGTACCGCCACTGCCCCGACTATCGCGACATCCACGCGACCGTTCAGAGTGGCAAGACCATCCCGAACTACTCTCTCAGGGACAACGGTCTCGTGTACTGGCACGGTTCACAGGGCACCAGAGAGCCCCGTATTTGCGTTCCCTCCACTGGACAGCTACGTGTCCGAGCAGTAGCAGAGTTCCATGACCAGGCAACCGCCAGTCATATGGGCTTCCACAAGACGTTGGCTCGTGTGAGCCGCCTATACGTCTGGCCGAAGCGCAAGGACTTTGTGAAGGACTACGTCGCAAAGTGTCCCACCTGTCAGGAGGTGAACAGTGCAAACCACCTACCTTATGGTTTGCTTCAACCTCTTCCTATCCCAGAGGGTCGTTGGCAGTCCATCTCGATGGACTTTATCGGTCCTCTTCGTCCTCCGACCCCCCGCGGTCATGATGCTATCCTGGTCGTTGTCAACCGCTTCACGAAGCGCGCACGCTTTGTTCCGTGCCGCTATGCCATCAACGCACGTGAGGTCGCCGACATCGTGTTTGCCCGAGTCGTGCGTGACCACGGCTTACCACTGAGCATCATATCTGACCGTCACCCACACTTTACCAGCCGATTCTGGTGACGGCTCCACGAGGTGTACGGCACTCAGCTCCGCTTCTCCTCGTCTTACCATCCTCAGACTGATGGTCAGACCGAGATCACGAACAGGACTTTCGGGGATATTCTCCGAAAGATTGTTCATGACGACCAGCAGTGAGATCTCCATTTTGTCCACGCGGAGATAGCCTACAACCACGCCGTCTCGCTAGCCACGGGGATGTCGCCTTACTATTGCGACCTCGGCTATCACCCTCGTGTTCTCGCGGATTTCCTTCGACCGTCACAGATGCACCCCGACACGAGTCGTCCCGCGCAGGATGATTGGGCTGCACACATGACGTCGATCATGAAGACCCCACATGAGCACATAGCTGCTTCCTAGACTCGCATGGCCGCACGTGCGAACCGATCGAGGATGGATCATCCATTCAAAGTCGGTGATGATGTGCTTATAAACGCCAGCCACTTACAGCTCGAAGCGGACACGCTTCACAAGTTTCGGCGTCGCTTCTTTGGACCATGCTGCATCTTCAAGGCCGTTGGTTCTGATACGACATCTAGCCCGGTCAGCTTCCGTGTGAAGCTGCCCGACTACCTACGCCAGGCTCGTGTGCACGATGTCTACCACGTCTTGTTACTGCGTCCGTACCGCAGACCGTCTGAGCGTTTTGTTAGACGACCATACGAGCGCCCTCCACCCATCATGGTGGACGACCACGAGGAGTTCCTTGTTTCAGACATCATTGGTCGCCGAGTCATCGACGACAACCCTCCCCACATCGAGTATCTCGTACGTTGGAAGGGTTACCCTGATGAGGAGGCTGGGAGCCCCTCGAGCACTTGCAACACGCTCGCATGTTGGTGTGTGCCTATGACCGTGCTCGTCGTGTTGGGTTCACTGCTCCTCCTCAGCCCACTGACCCTCCTTCTCCCCCGGCTAAGGAGACCGCTGAAGTCGAGCCTGCTCCATCTGAGGCAGACCTTCAGCAACAGCTGGATGCTTCTGAGCGTCCACAATGCATTCGTCGTCGTCCTGCTCGATACGATGATTGACTCTGACTTACCTTCCCACGTCCTTGACTTCTCAGTACTCCATCCACTCCAGTTTTGCTACTTCAGCTCGTCGACGTTGCGGCTCTTCCTCGACGATATTCCGGACTTTTCATCGTGGACGTCATCGGCAGCTTCATGGACTTCGTCACGATCAGCTCTGCCTACTTCAGACGTCGCCACTCTCTTACCACTTTACCCTGTACAGTACCCTGCTTGTGTCGCATGATTGTCTCCCTTTAGCCGGGTTCCTCTGAGTTGGGCTCTCCCTTGGTACACACATAGGCATCGGGACCGTAGCGTTGCCCTGGCTTCCCATCTTACGGATCTAGCTCCGACCTCCCTCAGTTTAGGAGTCATTTGCATGATTCCCTTACCCATCATCTTTCTACCCTTTGTCGGCCCTCACGCCCTAGTTAGGCAGCCCCGCATGCTTCATCTAGGTGCGCCCAGTATATCAGGCTCCCTTGTTCCCTTGCATGGTCGACCCTCTAGAGTGGTCACCCCTTAGTCGAGCATTACCCGCCCTGATGGTCTATCTGTTAGGGTCATTGGTTCTGTTCGCTCCCAGTTCCCTACCCTCATTGAGCCTGATGACATGTGTTTCCCCTGTCACTATGTGTGGATGCCCTTAGGAGTTTTCGACCCCTAGGCTGCATTCGCCACCCTCAGAGACCATCCGACCCTTTGGTTTGCGACACACTTCTCATGTGACATATGTTTGTCTTGTTGATTCCTTTGTTGCTCTCAGACTGAGGCTACTGCCTCTGATATTTCTAGGATTTAGCTGTTCTGCTTTTGCTGTTCTTAGGACTTATACACTAGTCGGTTGTTACCAAACTGAGGCTACTGCCTCCAACATTCTAGGATCTAGTTGTCACTACTTTCTGCTTTCCTAGGACATATATGCTAGTTAGTTGCTTTTGCTTTCCTAGGACATGTATGCTAGTTAGTTGCTTCTGCTTTTACTTAGGCTGTTAGCTGTGACATTGCTGTTTTGTGACATTTTATATCCTAGGTTGCATCGCATGGACTTAGCATGGAGCTCGCTCCGCATCCTAGACTGCTCATGTTTTCTTTTCTTTGGTAGAGTTCCGCTTCTTGGCGGAAGCGTGCTTGTATCTAGGCGATCCATCACAGGCCGAGGATCGTGTAGCGGACCTCTGGTGGGCCTGTGAGACCAGCCCCTTGGCCTGTTCTCACAGGCCTGTGTCCTATTCGGGGGCAGTCCAGTCCAGTCCAGGCCGGTATCTCTGTCGGTACCAGCCAGTTCAGTCCAGTCCCGTCAGTCCGCTGGGTTATACCCCAGTAGTTGTCTGTTTTCGTTCTCATTCTTCACTTGCACATTTTGGAGTACGTGCATTGGAGTCTTGCGTGGGGAGCTGCGCTGTGCATCTTGCTCCCCCCTTCTTCCTCCATCTCCATCTCTATCACTAGCGGAGCACCATACCTGGTGGGTCCGCTACAAAAACCTAACGATAAGACCAACGATTCGCCCAACAATCCCTCTCCCTTTTTCTTCAACACACCCCAACGTACCACAACTCCCTCAAACCTACCCCAGCATCCACTGGGGAGGAGAACCACCTCCCATTACTAGCACACAGGCTCTAAGCAATGCTAGTACCGAAGACTTTAACGACCATCTTCCATTTTTCATAAGAAAACAGGATAATGGTGTGACTCCACCTCACCAAACCCGTTAGCAAGGCGCCACAGGGGGTTCAAGCATTCGTCCCTACCCACTTACCTTGTGAAGGAAAAAGGAGGAGAAAACCTCATTACCAACATCAATCAGTTGCCCCTCTCGAAATTCCGCCCAAATCCCATATCATCATGCAAAACATTCACGAGTGCCCAAAACATTCATGATTGCCCGACAGTTGATAACGACCCCCACAGCAAGGCGAAGTAGCAGGCGATAACGAACTCTCCACAACAACTCTCGGCGATGGTGAACTCTCAACATCTTCGCGTTATTCCGTGCAACACCTCTCGGCATAGCATCGAAACTTGACCAACCATCCCCACCCCCCCACCCCCGCCCCCGTCCTGCAACGTATCCTCCGTCCCCACCCGTCACATGCCCTATCCGTATTCATTCCCATCGCACCTCTCCGTTTACTACTATTCCCCATTGCCCTCCCTTGCCGTGCGCAACATCCTCTACTTTCGCACATCTCCAGCTGCCGATACTCCCGTCACCCATCCGCCATGCGCCGTTCGCACTTGCCTGTTTCTCCGTCACCCGCTGGCGAGAACAGCCAGGCACAGCGCTCCCAGTCGCGCTGCCGGCCTGCATTGGAAACTCAGGGCGCGACTCAACAAATTCGTGGAATCCAATTGTCATTATGTATATTCGGCAAAATTTCGACCCCTGCAAGAAGGGCATCAGGTGAATACATGATCATATAGGGACATGTGACCAACTAACATCTTGGAGGACATTTAACAAATCGGAAATTTTCCTTTTTTGCTTGAAAAGAAAAAAAACGAGAGAAAGGGGCTCGTTCCACACTCCTCGGGCGCGTAAATCCCCCGAGGAAATGATCGTTCCACTTATCCTCGAGGAAGAAATTGAAAAAAAAATGTGAAAACATTTCCTCGGGGATTCCTCGGGCCACAGCCATTTCGACGTGTTCCCCGAGGGACCTCCCGAGGTCCCTCGGAGGTCGAGCATCCGGAAGAATCGGGACGTCGTCGGCAACTCTCTTGACGACATTTTGCGACGGCCGTTTGTACCACTGTTGTTCCTGGCGCCCGTGGACGGACATCTTCGATCGGCAACGGTCGGCGTCATGGAAGAGTGCGCCAACGGTCCCCTTTTGCGGCCCGGTCGCTTCCCCGACGTCGAAAAGCGGCTTTCTTGCGTCGCCGCCCTTGTCCCCGAGCGGGAAGGCGCCCAACGGTCGCGAGATTCAAATAGTTGAACCGTCCCCCGGTGGGGCGATTGCGCAATGTGTTCACAAACGGAATGCGTTAACGTGCTTTTGTCGTTTGTTGCAGTCAAGCGTTTGCAGCAGTGTCCGTCTCCATTACGTTATAGATCCCCCATTGTCTACTAGCTGCCACTGTCATCCACGTGCTTTTCATGGCCGACGTCTTTTGGAGGCTGCCGCTGCTGCTGCTGGTCGTCCTATTGCTCCTCCTCCTGGTTGTCTTCCACGTGTGCATCCTCGGCGGCCTTCCGCGACGTGGTCGCAGAAGGAGGTGTGTGAAGAACAACGACAGAATGGAGGGCCGGAAGGCGATCAGCGGGTCCGCAGGAGAGCGCGGTGGGCGGTGGTCCGGGCACAGCCCGTCGAATAGTCCAAGGCCATCAGAGCGGTCCGGGCACGCACACCTGCCACCGCACTTGCAACCTCTGCCTGACACGGACGACGAGGAAGGGGACGATAGACGGTCACGGACCGTGCCGCTGGGAAGTAGATCCACCGAGGAGTGGGCGGCTACAGAGCTGTTTGGAAGCCGCGACGGCGGTAAAGGGCAGTCGTACACCGAGCTCCTCCAGCAGGGGCTCAGCGACATCGATGGCGATGGCGGCGTGAATCTGTCGTTTGGACTCGGCAGCGGGAGGCCGGCAGCCGTCTCTCGAACGGTCGTCGTAAACCCCCATCCCGACGAAGATGGCCGCGACGTGACGGTTGTTCATCGATCACCCAGGTCTCCAGCGCCGCTGCGGGAGGCTTCGGGGAACAACAAGGATCCTCCCAGGTAGCAATTTCGGTCATTGTCTGTGTGTAGGGGTGCCTCCGCTCGCCCCCAGTGGATGCAGTCTCCGTCTCCCCTGTCCGCCGGTTCGAGTGTAGGTCGTCGTGTTGGCGAGTGTAGGGAGACGGCGTCTGTGTTGCTGATGTTGGTGACGCACGTGACGGAAGGGAGGTGTGGGCAGAACAGCGACGGTTGATGAGGTCGGTGCGGGAGGAGTCCATAACTCGGGGGGTGCCGCGATTGCGTGTTGGGGAAGACGGGCACGACGGCGAGGAAGTAGTGGGGGACACACACGACCCCGACTGGAACGACAACGGCGTTGAAGGTGGGGAGGACGACGCAGGCTACATTTCGCCGTCGAAGCAGGCGGCCGCTATGGGAGGGGGGGGGGGGAAGACGAAGTCGTGTGGCGGTAATGGTCGTCGGGGCAAAAGGATGGCAGGCAAGGGCAGCAATGCGGAAGGTGACGTCGATGGTGAAGGAGGTCGTCACTTCTGGTCCGTCGACGACATTATAGCCCTCATCCGGGCTAAATGTGATCAGGATGCGCATTTGCAGGGGATGGGCCACACGTACGCTCGGATGAAGCCGCAAGAATGGAAGTGGCTGGATGTGGCGACGAGGTTGAAGAAGGTGGGCATCGACAGAGAGGCCGATCGGTGCGGGAAGAAGTAGGACAATCTGATGCAGTAGTTCAAGAAGGTTCATCATTTCCAAGGACTGTCCGGGAAACAGGACTTCTTCCAATTGTCTGGGAAGGACAGGATGTCGAAGGGCTTCAGTTTCAATATGGATCGTGCGGTTTACGAC